TATATATATATATATATATATATATATATATATATATATATATAGATGTATATGTGTGCGATTGTCCTTGCTTTGTACCTCACTTTGTCCTTCACCCTAAATTATCCTCTTCTATTTTATATAATGAAAATAAGCCAAACATTTGCCATATGTAAATATCTAATGAAAACAAAATTTCTTGTGGATGATACTTTTTACATTTGTTGAAATGGTCCCATTTTATTTATTTATTTTCATTTGAAGAGATTTGACGTTCTATATAGTCTAAGGACCATCCAAAATATTAGTAGAATAACTGATCAAGTTGCTTATGGTATGAAATATATTTGCTGCATATCACATAGGCTTGTCAATTTCTGGATAGAATTTGTCACTACTCCGTCGTTAAATAAGATTAATAACAGACTTTTATTTTTAGCAATAGAATTTATTTATCGCTAGCCTTTTTTCTCTTCAAAGTGGTGACCATTGTAATATACCATATAAAATTAGCAGCTAAATTTTGGACTAATAAAAGAAATTTGTTTTTTTGTTAATATTTTTATGAAATAATGTTAAGTGATAAGTGGTCTTTCAACTATATAGTCACAAAGAACAAAAGGAAGCTCCAAGGAACTTTCCTTCTCAATAATAGAATATCCCTTTTGTATCTTTTCTATTATTGTACATGACATGAAAAATACAGAAGTATGATTATTACTCTACATGATACTCTCCTTATCTAAAATATCAGGTTTTATATATATAAAAGTTACAACATTAGTTTAAGTGTTAAGCATATTTGATATCTTTATCTTTATGTGTGTAAAGAGTACTGTTGCAATAATTGTTGATTTTCTTACATAATTGCATGATAGAATTTATTAGTGACTGTCATAATTTATGTGATATTGTTAAAGAGTCCCACATCAAATGTAAAAGAGATGGTCTTTTGTCTCGAAAAATCCTTCCCTTATCATTCAATTTTAGGGGTTGAGTTACATCCAAGATACATGTTATATTATGATATCAGAGCATAACTCGTCCTAGATGATCTATGTATTTCTTATAAGATATTCATTTTATTTAGCAATGTTTAAACACTATTCCCCTAGTAATTTTACTTCGTGTAATTTTCATAACTTTCAACAATTAAGACTCATCTAATCCTTTAACGAAAATTTTGATTTCGGACTCTTGGAAATGAATGAATGAATTTTTTTTGTAAGATGCACCCTCCTTTAGTGAGCTATTCAAGGTGAATCTAGATTAGTTGGATTTAGATTGAGATATGGATGAGGAGGTATTTTATTGTGTTATTAATCATTATGATTAGTGAAATTGATTAAACAAATAGTTGATGTCACTTTAGGTTTGTGGGAAACCAAATCACATTTCACTAGCAAAAGCAATAATAGCTTCCAAAATCCTCTTTTTGCTAACCGTTGAGAGCAATCAAAAGGCTAATTGGACTGAAATTTTGGCTTTATAACTTCTCAAAGGGTTTAGATAAGAGAAGTGGGTCACTCAGTACATGGACCACAAAATAGGCCTAAGAGCCCACTTCAAAAATTACATAGGGAAGGATAATCGTAATATATCAAGTACAACTTGTTTAATACGTATCAAAAATAAGAAGAGACACCTCAATTCAAGTATCAAAAATAAAGTAGGTAAAGCAAACATAGTAGTCAGTTATAAGTCATGCTGAAAACAATTAAGAAGAGAACAATAATAATATGATAATTAAAGCAAAAGAAGCTATATGTAATACGTACCAAAAAATCTAAAATAAGAAAATAAAATAGTAAGAAAGTAATATTGACAAGAAAAATAGACAACCCTCGATCACATATTAATATTTTACCATTCAAGACTTTAAATGGGTTGAAGCAAGGTCGTTCAGATTCTCAGAAAATAATATCATATTCATCTTAGATTTTTGAATAATACATTATTTTTGGAGGATTCGATATATTTATTCATGGTTCGAGGGCGCTTAATGACATGTTTCTCTAACTAGAATGATTTAGATTTGAACTCTCTATATGAATATTCAATCAATTAGGGGAATATTTGAGATCTCGATCTCTTCATGAAATATTTGGGATGCCTTTTAAGAGAATTTAGTACCCTTTGTATACGCATAAACTAGGGTTTAGAATTGAGTAGCCTCCAAAAATTCTAATTTCAGTTGAACACTTTGTAGAGCCCCAACTCGAATTGAAATATCTTATAGAATCTCATAAAATTTTAATGTCTACAACATTATTGACAATATTTTTGAAAAGCTAATAGGTCTATTCCATGTGTAAATCAAATAATTTATGTTTAAAATTCATTTCAATTTATATATTCATTTAAAAAAGATGCACTAACAACTGTTATGAGTATGATTTAACTGGTTATTTTATAAAATTTATATTATATCCATTTTTAAGTATTTTATTTTATATAATCAAACAACTGTCATTAATGCATTTTTTCGTTTTTTTAAAAATTTATTAGTACGTAAATTTGAAATAGACCTCAATCATAAATTATTTTATCAAACATATGGTGTAATTCTACAAGGCCATAACATTCACGTAATTGTACAATATCAATCTTTTCTGCTCGAATTAGGCACAATCAAATCGTTAATTCATTCATTTGAATTTTTTTTTATCACAAATGTTTAATGTAGAGTTGTACCAAATCGAAATAAAAATTGAATCAAAATTGTAAATGGAGTCAAATAAAAAAAAATTAACTAGTAATTTAGTTTGACTTAGTTTGATATCGAAAAAAGAAAAACATCGACTATACCTGTGTTGGTTTGGTTTTGATTAAAGTAGTTAACCCGACATTATATATATAATTTTTAAAATTTATTTTATACATAAAAGTAACTTTAATGTGATTTCTAAATATTACTTATACGTTTTCATAATTTTATTTTTTAATATATATTTTTCAAATTTTTTTAGACTTAGAATTTTGAATAATCCAATAAAAATAAATTTATAGAAAGTGTTGATCTACGGAACTGACATATACTTATCCCCAATGCATGCATCATCAGAAGTAGCACACAAATTATTCTCATACATCCGTCCTTTCGTGCATTTGTTGATTCACTTCCCTTGATATGATTGCACAATAATATATGATTTTTTAGGAGGAATTTATAGCATACATCTGCTGATGTGTAAATGTGTTTTCTAGTGACATATCACCAACTCAGGAATCCTAGCGCACCAAGTCCTGTTGCAGTCTTGGCCCCTGGCTCTCAATTTAGTGTTTGAATCTTCTCTTCGATCAGTAATAAAATTAATACGGATATCTCCAGTTCGTAAGACATTATTGGCTTCCCGGCATTGGAATATATTTCCGTCATTTCATACAATTCTAAATCAAATCAATACTAATGCTAACAAAATAAATTGATTCAACATTAAGAATGACAATAATGTTAAATAGTTTTTCTTTAGTTTTACATTAATTTAGACATTTAAATAGATAATCTAATTTTAATTTTTCCTTAATGTTCAATCATGTAATTAATATTTATTAGACATATTTTAGAATGATTTA